CCACATACACTTACCCGCGCCCCCCCTTCCCACTCCAGACTTACCTTCCTTCTTCAGCAGGGCCCTCTCTCTTTCTCGTCTCCCCGGTCAGGGGGCGGGGCTAAGAGGGTCAGGTCCTCACACAGGCGGCGCCTGCAGCATATTCTGCTGGTGACAGCCTCTCCCATTCCTGCCGCACAGCTGCCCGTACATGCTGCGGCGGCTGTGCAGCAGGGAAGAAGCGGTACTCTCTCGGGGGGGCCCTCTTCTTCCTCACTGGGCCCCCCCAAGTGGCTGAACGCCAGGGCCTGGTCACAATTGCGACCCTGGTAGTTCCGCCAGTGGTGTTAAAAGAAAATGGCCAGGCCAGCAAATAACCTTCACGTACCCCCTGATCTAAAGGGTGAACATTAGGTACAAGCTACAGGGGCTACAACTTCAAAAATTAAATTGTTCCAATATACAAACAGGTAGCTCTGTAAAATGTCATACCGCATATAAGTCATAAGTTACAAAGAAAAAAGACATATAAAACTTGCTTGTTTTGTTTACCAGTGGTAGTATATGCTGCGCATATGTGTTACCTCGCACCACTCTTCTATCATACATAATATTTCCATATATATATGTCTCTTCAGTCCTGAAAAACAAGTAAAATATATATGGTTTTATGTTTGCAGAAACATTATGAAACCATTTACCAAGGTTGGCCAAAGACTTCAGAAAGTGGTCATATGCGCATATATGATCCAACCTTTTTAGTGACAGGATCTACCTTTATAGTGATATTAAAGTCAAATTGTTTTTAAGCTATTTCAAATGTTGATTAAATCATTTACAATGGATGCTGCTTCTTGATGTTTAAAAGTTTCAGTTACCTGCAGAATCATTGGGTCCACTGAGAACTGGCCCTGATAACCTGTTTTGGGGTGGCTCCTTTCCTTTGAAGGGTCCTTTGGAGCCACCCTTGTGTGTGCTAGTAATCTGTGGATGTCTCCACAAACCAACAGACAAGGAAAGGGAAACCATTCCTCTGCTCCCCACTACTGCTTCCTCCCGGCTAGTAGGTAGATGGCTGCTGGAGACTGCTCTGTAACTTGTAAGCTTGTACTTGACAGGAAGTTCAGGTAAGCCGAGCTGAGAGAGTTGGAGCCAGCTGTTCTGAAGCATGGTGACTTGTGCAAAGCATGATAAGTGCTTGTGCAAAAATGTCAATACAAATATTGAAATAGTTGGCTAAGCAATATATATTTGTTTGATCTGGATTCATTATTGAAAAGAAGTTTGAGGCTTTAATACTACTTTAACACTTGGCCTAAGAGCAGGGGTGGGTAAACGCCAGCTCTCCACCTGTTGCAGAACTACAAATCCCATGAGGCATTGCAAGATTCTCACAGTCAAAGGCATGACTCCCAGACACAGATGCATGATGGGACTTGTATTTTCACCACACCTGGAGGGCTGGAGTTTGTCCACCTCTGCCTAAGAGAAAGGACTTTGTACAGCACACTTGGCTTCATTTTATGGCAGTTTGAAAAACCGCCATAAAATGAAAGGGTTACTGCATATTCATAATGGACCACCATAAATTGAGTTCTGTTAATATTTCACTAGGAAATATTGTAAAATATGTTTTACACAGGAATCAGACCTGTGCAGTCCCATCACACTAGAAGAAATTAGTTTTTTTTTTTTATAATGTTGAATCACCTTTCTTAATGTATTGCTTGTGACTACTAGCGGGTTGTATTTAGGCTTGCATATCAGACAACAGCACAATGTATCGAGGAGTCTACTGAGCCAACATTTTATAAATGTGGGTAATGACTGAGATATGGCAGTGCTGAGGTAATGGTACTAGTCAGATGATTATATGCAGACAGACCTCCATGTTTTCTCACACCATATTCCTGTAGCAAATGTCCCTTTCCCATTGCTGTCTGCTCCTTAAAATTCTATTTCAGCTGCAGAATTGGACCACATAACGTCCACCAAGCTATCATACTTACTGTCATTTAAAATATTACTTTGGTTTCATACACTGAGTGGCCAGGTTATTATGACCACCCCATCAGTACTTAGTTGGGCCGCCTCGTGACTCCACGAGATGTTGAAAGGTAATGCGAGGAATCTGACACTGCACTGTTGCCCTTGTGTTGTCTTGTACCAGTCGTGCCACTCTCCGTTCTGTCCTAACATTGACTAGTCGCTGACGGCCACAATTCGCACGTTCAGACCCAGATTTTCGGCTGACAGTCCAGTCTTCAAACACTTTAACAACAGCTGCTCTTGAACATTTAACGTTGTTTTTTTGCTGTTTTGCTGATACTCGATCCATGGCTCCGAGCGCCAACAATCATCCCACGTTCAAAGGCTGGTAAATCGCGTTGTTTACCCAAATCTTCAGGAAAAAAATCACTTCTACTGTCATGGTAAACAACCTGCTTCCCTATTTATAATGGTCTGGCCCTCTAGCAACTTCAGCGCAAAATTATAGCTAATTTGCCTACAAACGTCAGGTGGTCATAATAATCTGGCCACTCAGTGTATAGTATAGTAAAAGTACCCATACCCAAAACAACTAATAACCTAAGATGTTTTAATATTCTGACTATTCTACAGTGATGAAAAGCTGCAGTATTTTCAAAGAATATGTATAAAAAAAAAGTTTGAGTATAGGAGAACTTTACAGAGTTACTATATGAATATATTTAGTACATTTGTTATTTTCAACCTATTTTGCAGAATATATAATATGTAACATTGAATCATTTACTCACGTAGGGGGTGGTATTGTCCTGTATTTATGCCGGTTTTGAACCACCCTGGGATGGCTGGAGAATGTGTATGTTCCACTTCCCATATCTTTCTGAGATGGCATTAAAGACGTCATGGCTGTAAAGTGCTTGAAGATCTTTGTAGTGAGCTCAGGATATCAGAAGGTGCTGTGAGAAAAAGGAGTTAGTGTTATTTGTAGATCATACAACACACACAAATGATGTCTCAGTATACCTGTTAGAGCCTCTTTACCTACATTTTATTTGAATGGTGCTGCTTTTTTTATTCTGAGACCCCCAGATGCCAACAATCTCTTGTTCTGGCTTCCAAAATATCTACTTAAAGAAACATACTTTTTGGCAGATGTCCCCCAGCATGACTGATCCCAACATGTGGTTGTTGGAATGTTAGTGCTGTTATTATATCACGTTGTCCCTAGCAACAATGTCCTTATAAATATAAAAATAAACCTGTTCATATTTAGGGTACAGGAGATGGTACAGCCTTGTGTATTGGGAGTTACTGAACTCCTGTGCAAGTCAGTGTCTGTTTTGTTCTGAAATCTCAAACATTTGCATGTTTGGATATCATAGAATTCTAAAAACAAACTGCAGGCACCTGCTTGAAGATCTATCCAGATAGCTACGCACCTCTAGAAAAGACTTGGGTGAATTTATCAAAACTGGAGCAGACCAAATGTGGAGCAGTTGCCCATGGCAACCAATCAGCTTCTCTCTTCAGCCTATTCAGTTAAGATTTGAAAATGAAGCTGATTGGTTGCCATGCACAACTGCTCCAGATTTTGTCTGCTCCAGTTTTGATGAATTCCCCCCACTGTGTTTTTAGCAAATACTTATTTTGGGTTATTATAGAGTTACATTTGATTTTTTTTTTTTACACACAGTAAAATCCCTTTTTTTTTGTGTCTATTGAGAGCACGGGAGGTTCTGTTCATACCGGATGTGTTGGGCTAGACTGGCAAGCCATGTCCAGCGTATTCCTAATACATAGGCAAGGCAATTTTCCTTGTTTACTATACCGGGTGCCCATACTGGTCCCCAATTCAACATTCCTACACTAATTTTAACCCTTTGGCTGTCCTCGATGTATGCCTTTAGCAGCCATTACACTGGAAGTGATTCAGGCGAATCTATTCTTCAGGATCTCTGCTTTCAGGAAATATATTAGCTTTAAAGGCTTATTAAACCCTCAGTGGTTTTTGCATATACAGTATCTACTGCCAGCAAGCAGTAGATATATGCAAAACGATTGGAAAAAAAAGGGTTAACACTTATCTGTGTCTCCACCCCGCTCTCCCATCCGAACATCTGAACATTTCTCGGGTGGCCGCAAAGGATCTTGGGGCGGGCGAATGCGCAATTCAGATGTTCGGCCGGGAGATGAGGAGAGACACAAGGTAAATCTATGAAGCAGCGTGCACCCTCACAGACTCCATGGGACATGAGCTAAGAGGAGGACGACAGAGGAGTCAGCGCTGGAGGGACTGATGAAAACTACTGGAAAGAAGAAGAAGAAGATCGGATGAGGGGGGTGAGGGGGGGGGGGGGACTTTAGCCTTTAATGTCACTTTTGGTCACCAATCACCAATACATCAAAACATAGACTTTATGCAGTACAACAGGTTCGTGACAGCACCAACAAAAGTACAATCCATTAACACCTGTACCAGCCACCAACCATTGCACACCAGCTTTTTGGGTACACACCACCCTGACAAACTTCAAAAAACCTCGCCATACTATGAAAGCCCTCCCATGAAACTCGGATATAGTTTATGTCAAGGCTCCATACAACAACCTGTTGCAGATATAACCATACAAAAGAGTTTTGATTCCTTTTCTGACACCATCAAGGACCCACCAATGCGACCCTGGATTGCAAAGTACTGTTTTGTTACAGTTGTATCCCCTTCAGAGAAATTCCAAAAACATAAACAGAAAAACATGGATATTTCCTAGACAGTTGTGTACAGGAAACACACTAGTATGATGAAAAAGCAAACTATTGGAGCACATCATGGTCCGTCTTAGGAAGAAACCCAACACTTGGGTGTTCGCTATAGTTACAGAGATTTAGAAAGTCCAGTACTTGTAGGAAGCATGGAATGTCACCTTTAATCTAAGATCTGCACAAGACAAACTTCCCAGATATCCCTCTACCTGAATGTACATACGGCTGTCTTCACTGATGATAAGATGAGCTCTGAGAAGCTGTCACAGCCTTCATTGTGTGCTGTAGCGACCTGTAACCAGGCAACACAACCACTCCTTAGCAACGTCTTCCCTGCACATGCTCCTTACTGGAGTTCTTTTTTCCTTCTTATAGCTTTATTTAGACAGCACAAACATGAACAATGCAGTCTCAAATTGACCACATGTACACACGATAACACTGCTATGAGGAAAAGAAAATACATGTTTTTTCTATTTCATGGTGTCGATATTATGTCTTTTTAAAAAATAATAAATAAGTACTCAAACAAAGATACCCTGTACGTTTCTGCTTACATATAGTTTACCCATACTCATTATTTAATTATGCCATTGCTAACTACTTCAGCAAATGCCATCTGCCTGGCTGTTAGAGTGACCCATTGGCTGTAAAACTTTGTATCACAGATCCCAAAGAATACAGAAACCCTAATTGTTCTGTGTGGCTGAATGAATGAATGTGTTTTCATTTCACGCGTTTGCCTGTGTTTAATTTAAGCAGCCCATTGAAATAAATAGGCTTCTGACCAGGGGTGTTTCTAGGGTGCGAAAAGACAAGGGGTATCTCTGGGCACACAGCTTATAATGTTGAGGGGCTGGTAGGATACCATGGTGACTATACAATATGAGGACGGACCTAAAGAATCCAATCTAGATGTATCAAATGAGGCTGGTCCCGCAATACATAGTTGATAGTAGATCTAAAGCAGATTAGACAATCAGGTTGCATAGTGTGTGGCCAGCTTTAGAATAATATAATCTTTTTTTACCATGGTAGGACTGAAATCATTATCAGAAAAAAAAGACATCCTAACTGAATATTCTTAAAAAAACTGGAGCAGACAGAATGTGGAGCAGTTGTACATGGTAACCAATCAGCTTCTATCTTCAGTTTGTTCAGTTGAAGTGACATTAAAGTCACAATTATTTACCCCCCCATGCTGCTGTAAATAGGACGCAGGGAGGGTAGGGTTCTAACTTCTGTGACAGCTGCAGTAAGTGACAGATGAGACAGGTGGCGCTGTCATCGGTCTCAGTGATCACACAGAGCAGACGAAGACAAGATGTTCTTCGTCTGCTCTATGGGCTCTATGGTGAGCTCCAATGCCGTGGTCATGGGTCTTCGAGCAGCGGCTCCCACTGTACATTAGCTCTGCTTGTCCGGATCAGGGCTGAATGTACAAAAAAACTACTTGGGATAGGGATTCGCTCCATAAGACGCACAGACATTTTTGCCCCCTTTTTGGGGGGGAAAAAGTGCGTCTTATGGAGCGAAAAATACGATACCTTTTTGGTAACTTTTTATTTTTTGTAATGTTTTTGCATTACATCTATTGCTTGCTAGCAGTAGATATATGCATAAAAAAATTAGTGTTTATACTTTAAGCTATGAAAATTAAAGAGAGAAGCTGATTGGTTGCTATGGGCAACTGCACCAGAATATGTCTGTTCCATTATTGATAAATTCCCCTCACAATGTTCCAAACCTGGAGTATGCATGAAATGTATCATCTCCATATTTTAAAGAGGTTCTGGAACACTCAGTGGAAGACCCGGGGCACATGCCCTGGGTGTCAGAGTCTAGCGACACCCCTGCTTCCGATGCACTGTATATTAGACATGTTGCATTTCAATGCTTTGCTTCACATGTGCAATACCTTATTGCATTTGGGGTGGTATTCAAAATAATAGCACTGCAGTGCATTCATTTATGTAATGTGCGTTGCTGTACGTTGTGTTAATGCATGAGTTCCTGCAGCACAAAGACTGACAGCAAAAGTCGTCCCTCAAACTATTGATGCAAATGGACCACAATGACAGCCAAGCAACTAGAATTTTAAACTAAGGACAACATTGGCAGCTTCCTGTGTCTATCCTAAAAGGGTAGCCGTGAGGCGACATCTGGAAGTGTAATTCTTTCATATACAAGTACATGCATTTGTACACCGCAGCTAAAACGATAATTAGAGAAAAATATCAGCAAAATAAAGCCAGCATCTTTGCTGTAAACAAGATGTTCTCTCTGACAACCAACATGCTTACACATAGGAAAACTCAAACAAGAGTTGGAATAGAAGCTTACCCTGCATGCTAGCCAATATTTACAGTGTCTAGCCAAAATGTTTGCTTTAAGTTTTGGATAGAGAAAGCAAGGGTTAACAATCCCTGTTGGGTTATTTTTCCTGTATCCTGTTTGGATGATTTGTCCTTAATTCCTGTCCCAAGACATGACAGGAAGTGAGAGGAAATCTCCCCAAAGTGACAGTTGGCAACCCTTGTTGTGTGACATCTCTAAAATGTTGGGTTTTCCCTCACTTCCTGTATTGGTGATAGTGGTCACCAGGATAAATAGAGAGGGGAATCTCCCAAACACGCAGACAGCAGTAAAAATTTGATATAGGGTTTAACTGTCCCCCATTCTATCCAAAACTAACAAAAAAGGTTTGCCTTCACCTGAATCTTCTATGATTAATATCTTAAAATTAAAGTGTATGTAAACCTACCTACATGACTTGGTCCCTCAAAGTAAAAAGACTGGTTCTGTATCAATTGAAGAAGTCCCCTTATAGCATGGGTGGGCAACTCCGGCCCTCCAGCCATTGTGGAACTACAAGTCCCATGAGACACTACAAGACTGACAGCTACAGGCATGACTCCTAGAGGCAGAGGCATGTTGGGATTTGTAGTTAAAGCACAGCTAGCGGGCTGGAGTTGCCCACTGCTGTCTTAGAGGATTTCAAATGATTCCTGACCACGCTAACCACAGAAGTAGATCTGTGTCAGTGTGGTCAGGTTACCACATAGTAAATGCAGTGCAATAAAACACGTATCGTGCATTGCAGTAACATGTACTAAAAGGCATGTTTAAGCGCAGTACAAATATGTGAACCCGGAGTCACAATACATGTTACAATCTGACTGTACAATCTTTGTGCAATTTTAGATGTACCAAAGTAATACTAGGATCTACCTAAACTATCTAATCAGTTTGTATCCAATCAGGCAGGCCATTGCACTATATAGTTGTTGGCAGAACTAAAGGAAATTGTACAATCAGATAGTAATGCCTGTGGTGACTCTAACACTCAGGCCCCATTCACACTGAGCGATTTATCACGCGGTAATTCCCGCGATATGGCGGCTATTTACCACGCGATATCGCTCTCCAATGCATCTCAATGGGGCTCTGTCCGTCGCTGTCGCGGGTCGTGCGTCGCTACAGCAGGACCCTTTTTGGAGCGGATTTTGCCGCAATTCTAGCTTGCTCAATGCAAGTATTTGCGCGATATCGCGCGACAAACATGCGATATCGCGCAAAATGCAAATCGCGTGACAAACGCGCGATTTGCGAATCGCTCAATGTGAATGGGGCCTCAGGGTCATTATACACATTACAATCTGACCAATGTTTGTACAATAAACTTTAGATTTACCAAAACTATGTGATATGAGGACCTACCTAAACTATCCAGTCACTGGTATCCAATCAGGCAAGCCCTTGCAATACATAGTTGTTGGTAGATCTAAAAGAGATTGTACAATCAGATTGTCAGGTGAGCTTTAGTGGAGTTTTTGAATATTTGATATTTGCACAAGCCCAGTCATAACTGTTTTTCTTGTTCATAATCCCGACCCTACTACAGTGCCCATTTTTGCACTTGTGAATAATAAACATGCAATAGATGATAAGATCTATTTAGAAGGGTCACCCCATTGTATAAAGGGCCATATTTGAAAAATAGAGATATTTCCCTAAGAGTTGTCAGGTCTATCATGTGAATACGGAAATCACAAGTATGATAAAGAAAAGCAAACCACTATAATCTACCATCCTAGGGAGAAAGCCAATACGAGTGCAGCAATAGAGAAAGTCCAGTACTTGTAGAAAACATGCAATATCACCTTTAATCTAAGATCTGTGCAAGGCGAACTTCTCAGATATCCCTCCACCCGGTTGTATATATGGCTCTCTTCACTGATGATGAGATGAGCTCTGAGAAACTCTGACAGCCCTGACTATGTTGTAGCAACCTGTAACCAGGCAACACAGCTCCTCCTTAGCAACGTCTTCCCTGCACATGCTCCTCACTGGAGTTTTTTTCCTTCTCATAGCTTTATTTAGACACATCACAAAGAAACAAAAATACAGTGGGGGGCACTTATCAAGCAAATTAGCTCCACAATTAGTCACAAATTAGTTTGCCTCTCATTCAGCAAAGTCTCTGTGTATCTGTATTCCTGGGCAGACAAGTGTGACGGTTTGCAAGGTCCTGAGACAGATTTATTACTAAAGATGCCACACAATTTCACTTTAAACAGACACACAATAAGCCCCTATTCACACACAATTTTAAGTGCGATTCCAGACTAGGGTTGCCACCTTTTCTTCAAGTAAAATCCGAACACTCTAGCAACGCGCGCAGCAATTTTTTTTTTTTTAGACTATAGAGGAGAGAGCAAGGAGAGGCAGACAGGGGAGGGAGTAAGGAGACCAGCTATAGATGACTACAAATCCCAGCAATACATTATACCAGGGCTCAAAATGTCAAGTCCTGAGCTATAGGATGACATGGTGGGGGCACAAAGGATGACATGGTGGGGGCACAAAGGATGACATGGTGGGGGCACAAAGGATGACATGGTGGGGGCACAAAGGATGACATGGTGGGGGCACAAAGGATGACATGGTGGGGGCACAAAGGATGACATGGTGGGGGCACAAAGGATGACATGGTGGGGACACACAGGATGACATGGTGGGGGCATCTGAGCTGCGAGAACCTGTAAACAGGCACAGGCTGCCTGCATACACTATTTCTCTGCCTAGGAATGCTCTGGAACACATGTAAATGCATCAAAAATGCATTCAAATGCACTGGACTGCACCTGAAAGCCCATTTTAATCTAAAAAAACTAAAAACACACCAGAACAC